CACCATCTCTTAGCACGGACTTCAGATGGCTTTTTTATGCAAATAATTTTTTTTCTGGGTTTTTAAGTCCATTTTTATTTTCATAAAAGTTTATTTTTTTTCTACTAAGCTATTAATTTTGACAGGCAATAATTTGGGGAATTCCGTTGGAAGTTATAAGATATTCGCTGACACCATACTTGTTTTATTGCAGAATTTAAAATACATGATCAGGATGCTCAGACGCTAACCGGTCCTGTCATTCCTTTATAGCTAGATCGGTCGCATTTTTATATATTCCTAGCGATTATTGTTCAATAAATAATATTTCTGTGCATAGTATTACCATTTAAAGTTGCTTATACATAAATAACTTGTAGACTAAAAAACTTGGTATGTAAACAAAGGATTAATATAGACATTCGCAAGAAACAAGGCGTGATTATATTACGTAAGCGGTTGATTTCCAACCTGTTTGTTTTTTTTTTTTATAATAATAGAGTGATAAACCTTTGGTCCACCTGATGGTAAATGACTTGCAAGCCTTGCAAACAACTTCAAACAAAGATGGCCACAGATGCGTTGTCTTGTGGACTTAGATGAAATATCTCACATACACACGTTATTGTACTAATTCCCTTAACCTTCAAATTGAAACAACAGAGGATGCACTGCCGCTTGCCGATAGAAATACGTAAGATAATGATACCAATCCAGACGGTTTCCTGGGATGAAAAGAATTATTCTATTATTAGGTGAGATGGTAAACAATGGGATACGATCTTTAATAGAGACCTATGATATGTATCCCAAATATGGAAATGTTATTGCAACAAGATACTATGATTTCACAGAATACCAACATAAAATAGCAGCTTAATGCTGCTGTGTTTCGTATGGTGAGTGTAGAGAACCGGAGCCCCTTTTAATTGGAAACAATGGAATATTGTAGTTCACAGGGGTGACAACGCATCTGCATTTTGATTCTTAATCGAGGATAAGTCTATATGCCCTAGTATCTACTTAATATCAGGTGGTCTGTGTGCTCGTTTGTCTCCCCTGTCTATAAAAAAAAACATAACTTGAAGCAACTGTAAACTCTATAACTTATTGTTCTTTGAGAATAATATAAGTTCATGTTATTCTCAACTCAGAACAATATAACTGCTTTAATTATTGGTCTGAGAGTAAATCAGTCTAAGTCAGTTTTCAGACAGTAGTAAAAGAGTATTTAGTACCCGATATTCGTCGGTTTCACTAGTGTCATTTATCTGCTAACATCATACTTATTATACTTTTAAACAGATTTTTCTGATAATATATAAATATTACACCGACGATATTACGATAGTGTTTTGTCATTTCTCAGGACTTACATAATAGCTTTATGATGTTACCTTTGTATTTAATTGACTTCATACAGGAGGAGATACTCAATTCGACTGCATGTTTTTTTTTATATGTGTTACCTCATTACTTTTTTCTGGGTGAACCGATTTCGACGATTATTTTTTTATTTGAAAGCTGGTGCTTCACATGTGGTCCCATATAAATTTTATCAAGACCAGTAGTTTTTGAGTTATTAAGTAATTTATATTGAAGTCGGTTGTACAAAATTTAATTTTAAATTATAACTATACTACTCCATGATAAAATTTCTCCATGATGGGAAATCAACGTTATGTCACGAAACAATCACGATTTAACGTTGAGATATGTCCTCCCAATCAGTTTTATAGTTTTCTATTAGCGTGAACGATTGAAGAAAATCTAATTGGCTAACCCCGCTCTTCAGTAGAGAAGATCGGATAGTATTTAGAAGATGTAGTTGTTTAAATCGACCAGCAGAACTGCTGTTTACTTATTTCGTAACAGGTTTAGAAAGCTTAAATACTTGTTGCTTTGTAAATATTCTGTCAAACTTTGTGGTAGGTATTCCTTGGCTCACTCAGGTCCATGTTCGGCAGTAAACTTGTGAAGAGTTGACTTAACGATAATATTGATGACAGAATTTACTTTGCTGTACTTAGCTGACATACTTGTAATTATTTTTTAATATGTTTAGTATTTTCCATGATTAATAAGTTAATCAGAAAAAACATGGCAACAATTTCCGCATTTTATAGATATGATATTATACAAATTTATGAACGATGAATATGATTGTTTCTTATGTTTATTAATAAGATTGTATGATTACGGACCTAATTTTTATGTTAATTGTATTAATTAGAATTGATGGAAAATAAACGCTACAATTATTTAAAAACAATAAAATTCAAAATAAGAACATAATTGTTACACAACTATTTTTATCCTGCCTTATTTAATGAGTTGGTTTAAAGACTAAATTTAGTGGGAGCTAAGGGGCTGAGGCAATACCATTACCATTACACCCTATTCCACTGCTGAACATAGGTCTTCCCTATAGATTGCCTCGTGGGAGAAGGTTTTCCATAGTTACCACGCTTGGCAAGCCGATTGGCAAGCACAGTTTTTTTATTCAGCTGTAAACAGAAAATGCTGCTGCCCACCTGCTGGTTCAGCTTCCCTCTGCGACACCCACGGCACGATATGGGTAGTGGATATTCTTAGAGGGCCATTACAAGGTTAAGGTTTTGAGTTTTTAAGGTAAAAAGGTCTAAGCACTCATTGTAAATTTCACAGTGCGCAAGCTACTCGGCTCTCTGCCGGTATCAGTAAAGTTGTTAATTGCAAAATTTCAAGTGCTGATTTACAACTCTGCCCTCTTATTTACGAAATGCATGCAAATAAAAAAATCAAACACACGTGAAATCGCATTGGGGTAGAACGGAGGTAATTTCCTTGCCCTGAAACCTTCTGAGTGGCCCCTGTATTATGCACTCACACGAATACAAAATGCGAAAACTTCCAAGTGACGCACAAATCTTATTCATTCGATACATACCGGACCTTAAAATGCCAAAGCTTGATGCATTACGTGGCTTAAATTCCTACCTTGACCTCTTGATAGTAAATTCATCGCCGTCCATATTCTTTATTTAGACTTCCAACATTATTTGGACATTTAAATTGCCCTTGGCCTCATACTGGGAAAGTGAGTGTTGATTTTAGATCTTTCTTCCTTAATGAAACATCTTGAATTTTGTTGTTATTAAGCGAGGACAGATGTTCGTATATGTACATACATTCATTTATCATCAGATGGACTGTATGCTCAAGGATGACAACTGATAATCCTTACTTCCAAAAAGTAGAAAACAAGCAGTGCTACTTATTGGAGTATCTTATATTCAGAGTTTCTTTAAAACAATAACGTAATATACTGTTTTTTGTACTTGTTTAAAAATATAATAGGCTAGTGTAAATTATGGTGTGTAGAATAAGTTGCAACCTCTCAAACTCACCATCTCACTAAACGGTGCACAGTTGGACATGTTTATATCTCATTGCGAAAACAATTCGCCCTGATCTGATGATTGGCGATGTCGGTTTTGACCGCGCCTTTGATGTTGCTTCCCGTCGCCGGTATAAGAATTTTGTATTTGGTATAAATGCGAAATTGTTACTCCACCTCTAGTCGCGTCTTACAACGCCCACGGTACGACGCGGGGTGCTAATGGATTTTCTTATGCCGCCCTCAGACCAAGATAAAAGATAATGTGTGAAGTAAAAATATTTAATAAAATCCCCAAAGCAGTTTAAGCACGGCTCTATAAATCTCATGACCAAAAAGTTACGTGAATGACCAATAAAAATGTTATTATAGTGTTAAGGATTTTCAAAATGATAATAATATGCATATTGAGTAGTTGATATGTGTATCACTGCGTATCAAAATATTATATCATTCTTATAACATTGTTTAATTAATGATTGACTAAATTTAAATTTAAATTATGACATTGACATTGTAAATTATGACATTATGAATGATATAAATTAAATATAGAATAAGTTGACATTTTAGTATCTACTACCACCTATATTTGGTGATTTGGATAAGTTTGCATGCTGTATTTCATGGCTAAATAGCTCTTTAAGCATCTTATTTTTACTGTAAATACATAATACTTACCCTATTTATGCCAAATACTTTGAATTTGATGTAGCGCTGCGTGCCTTTGAGGTAACGCCGAAACAATGTTCACCTTTGTGACACGTATTCAATCGTATTTCTTTCTTCTTTCTTCCTTTAACAGTCTGTTGTAGTACCAGACTGGACGCACTCATACACACCTAAAACTATATTGTGAGTGGCAAGTGATTTTAGATGCGTATGTGTGCCTGAATGCGTGTTCTTACAGTTGAGCAGAATATTTTCAGTTATTTTGCTGTTTATTTATTTTGTAACAGGCTTAGAAAGCTTACAGAAATCATCATTACAGCCCATCACAAGTCCACTGCTGAACATAAGCCTCCCCCAAGGAATGCCACAAAGCACTGTCCTGAGCCACCTGCATCCATCGACTTCCTGCATGTCTTTACTCCGTCTAGTGGGGGGCCGCCCTACACTTCGCCTACCTACCACTCGAGTACCTTTCCTCCCCTCTCTTGTCGGTTCTTCGAGCTATATGGCCGGCCCCTCTACTTCAGTTACTAATCCGTTATGTTTATTTACAAACAAATAATGTATACGATTGTTTTTATCTTTGAGTAAATGAATCCAAATTTGTGTTATTTTATAAGTTTGCAAACTCACTGAATAACTTATTTACTAGATAGTTCTAAATTGTATTAGTGAATATGTTACTTATTTAGACAAAAATTTCTTCACACTCGTATATAAATTATTATTAATGACTTTTGTGCCAAAATAAAGAAAATAAAAAAGTAGCGTAGTAATTTGTAAAAGCTGCCGACGCCTATATGACCAACCCAACAATTAAAATCTTACATACTCCTAAGTTTCAAAAATTTATTAATAGAGTTGACCACAACCTCAGCCTCAGGATCATTAGACTTATATTAAATAATTAAGGCTAGTAGTTTTATACTTATGTGTCCTCGTTACAATAACTCAAAGTTCCTATCTCCAGGAGTAGGCTATGAAAATCCCGTCACCGAAGTGTGCCTCGGGTGCCTCTGTCAAGCGATTTCTGGATGCAAACAAGGTACGCAGTGCGAAGGCGACTCCTGCGGTCTATTCCGTATCACGTGGGCCTATTGGGCTGATGCTGGAAAGCCTACTGTTGATGGAAGTTCTCCCGATGCTACTGATGGTAAGTTTACTAAAAATCAAATTACTGCTCTCTTTTAATGAACACATGCTGTCTTATTAAAAAACATGGTATATTATGGAAATATTCTAAGGATGGATCTCAGGCTTAAGCTATGGTTTAATTAAGAATAGTCCTTCTAACTAAAGAAGTTCCTTAGCCGCGGCACCACAATTTTAGAGTAATTACATATGTACATACATAAAATTACTCTGAGGCCACAGTTTTCGCAAAATTTGACATTTGTTTTTTTTTATAGTATAGGGTGACAAGCGAGCACACAGTCCACCTGATGGTAAGTGGTTGCTGTGGCCCATAGACATCTACATCTATCCTCGTTTGCGAATCAAAATGCAGATGCGTTGTCACTTATGAGGACTAAGATGGAATGCCTCTTTTCCAGTAAAAAGGGTCTCCGCTTCTCTACACTCACCATACGAAACACAGCAGTGTTAAACTGCTATTTTACGCTGGTAGTCTGTGAGAGCGTGGTCCTTCCCCGGTCGAGCCGACCCATTCGTGCTACAACTATACTACTAATATAGCTGCAGCATGGCTCTACCACGTATAATATTTGTTATCAAAATATGGATGGCGTGTGTGTTGATAATAAGATAAAATGCATAAATACTGTATAAAATGAGAATTATGCATGTATGTAATATTTGTAGAATATAGCTTGTGATGTTGAATAAATCGACAATATATTTTACAACAAAACAAACAAACGAAATTATAGAAAGAAATAATGTAGATACATCGATCACTAATAAAAACTAGATACACAATCAGTGACAAAAAATGTCCATACCGAATGAGCGCCCACTCGAACATTTGGGTGCGTTTATAATTTGTACGTACCTTTGTGAATACAACTTTAGGTAATACAGTTAAGATTGAATTTACATTAAGGTATACTTATTATAACTAAAATTACGTCAAAACAATTGGTGACAGTTTTTAGAGAACTTTTGCATGGGATTGTGAATCTAGTTTTTTATTTGTGAACGATGTGTAGATACATAAAACCTCTTTGTTGAAACACCGTAGGACTTATTTCGTGTTTGATTTTAGTTTAAGCCTAAGGCTAAATATAAACTACATGATGTAATAAGGCTGTTGGTGACCGTCGCGAAGTTAGCGATCAGAATACTGATAAACCAGACTACAAATAGTGAGTCATCAATCCTGCAACAACTAGGTCTCTAACATTAGATATAGATACATTCAATCATAATTTTATTCATTACAGCCTATAGTCTAACCTAAAGTCCACTGCTGAGCATAAGCCTCCTCATAAATTGCCTCATATGGAGGGATATTTGCCATTTATGTCACGTTTGAAAGACGGTATAGTGGCCGCAGTTTTTTATTTTCTAATTGTTGTTAAGAAGACAGTGCTGCCTATCTCCTTGTTTTTACTCTCTGCCACCTCTTACCACATCCACCGGATGATATGGGGTAGTGAATCTTCTTATACCGAAACTACATGGTAAATAGGTCGGTAGAACACTAGATACAAACCTTTTCTAATATTAATAGGTTATAACCTAGAGTTCCCTATATTGTCTTAGGTTAGCGACGGAAATAACGCGGGGATGCGATGGACATTATACTATTTTAATTAACCAATCAACTCGATGTGAGCCACTTGTAAACACACCCATTATTTAATTTGATATTCTAGCACGGTCTCGCTTTTCGATTTTTTTCTTAAGAAAAAACTTTAGAATCTCTGCTTTTGTGTGTATACATGTGTACATAAACTTAGACAGTAAAAGAAACAAGTAACAGATCTCACATTACATGGCACAGACTTTTGAAAAAAAAAATACAATAACAAAACCTATATTATACCTTAATTATTAACCTATAAAATTAACCCTATATTTTTCTACTTTTCAGCTTACCCCAGATGTACAAATGACCCACGATGCGCTGCCCAAACTGTTCAACAATACATGAGACGTTTCGGACAGGTAAGCTTAAAAAAATTACGCAAATACTCAAACGTTGTTCAATTTTAAGATGCCGTTAAGTCTCGTGCTGTCTCTATCACTTTAAATCAAATTGACTGTGACAACAAAAAACTTAACGACATATTACCTAGGTTTTCCCTTAAATTAATAAATATTAATAAATCTTCAAATGAAGTATTAGAAGAAAAACATTTTTTCTTCAAACACCAACTTCACCTGAACTTGCGTTCTGTTGATTTGATTGATGGTCAAGTCTACTGATCTAGCTACAACATCCATCCAAAACCGTATTTGATAGACTGGTAATAAGGAACAGTATTACAGATATCGGCTGAAATTCGTCTTTTGGAAATACCGATGCAATGTTGGATTTTAAAGGCGGTGGTAGAAGGAAAAACAGACGCTAGCAAATTATTCCACTCATAATTAATCATCGTTATACGATACATTTATTTAAGTATAAGTCGCGGCACGTAATTACGTCTAGTGCTGAATAAAACGTGGAGGGGATAGCTGCGCATGGGTACTGTCGCGCACGAATTGAATTGCACGAATGCGACTGGAGAGCCAATCAGCGCGTGCGAACGATACGCGCCCGCCCCGCAACCCGCTTACTACCCCATGATACATTATTTTGGAGTTATGCGTCACCGCTAGACTTTCGTGCCGCTACTTATACGTATGGAGTAAAGCCGCGGAGTAATAAAGAAAGTGAAGCTTATCCATACTGTTTATAAAATTATGTAGGTATCCAAAGTACCGCCGCACTCGAAAAGTAGTTTGTTCAATGTGTAGCATACGCCTAAACATGTTTTGAATTACTCATTCATCACGATCAAAGTACACTGCTGAACATAATATTCCCTCATAGATTGCCTCTTATAGGACCTATCTGCTATAGTTGACAACCTCGGGGATCAGGAAGATAATGTTGCCCGTTGCTGGTTTCATTTCCCTCCGTCGCCTCTTAGTACACCCACGGAATGATATAGTATGGGAGTGGGTTTTTTTATGCCGCCACTTCACAACGTGTAAACAGGAAGCATTATGTTTAGAATTTCATGTAAATGCCTGCTTCGATATACAAACAAACAAAAGATCTCAAGACGCTAAACTATGTTTTTTTTTTAAATAAACAAAGTTCTATACAATACACTAATGATAATCAGTTTTTGTCGGATATCATGTAAACTCCCAACAAAATGAAAGATAATAAAAGATCACACGATGTTATTTAAAAGAATATTAAAATTGACCTTCAATCCTACCTAGTACCTACGATTGTGTATCTCTGGTGTGAATCGTGGTTGATTGTTGATTTTGTTTTGACGTTTGACGCTTGGTGTCGTGTAATTGCATCATTATTGAAAGTATTTTTATGACGAGGATTTCCTACGTTAAAAGGCTTTTAGCGCTCCCTTCTCCACTGCATGCATATTTGTCCAGCATGAAGTATGCGTGCGACATTCCTTGGACAAGAAGTTAATATATTTTAAAAGTTTTTGCTTATTATCAGAAAATAAAGGATCTTAATAAAAATTTAGCCAATTAAGAATCTAATTCAATAACATGGGTCATGGTTTTCATGTTATCGTAATATATTATATTATGGTTATCGCTTTAAAAAACGAGAACTCAAAAGTCTTTTCCCGGTGATTACATTATAATTTTCTACCGACTTCAAAAAGGAGACGGTACTCAATTCGATTGTGATTTTTTATGTGTGTTACCTAATAACTTCTTACTGGGTGAACCGATTTCGATGATTCTTTTTTATTTGAAAGCTGGTGCTTCACATGTGGTTCTATATAAATTTGATCAAGGTCTGATCAATAGTTTTTGAGTTATTCTTAATAATTTATATTGAAGTAGGTTGTACAAAATTTTTAATTCTCTAATTATTTTATCTCGATCAATACAAAGTGTTTTAAAAAATCATTCGACAAAGAGTTTAATTAAATATGACATGTATGCGCATATTTTTTTCCGAACATATACTATTTCAAAAAGTATAAACACTCGAGCGTCAAAATCATGGCAAAAATACGATATTTTTGTCAACTTGGCTTCCATGTCATCATACCGTTAGGTTACAAAATATTATCATAATAAATAAACATAGTAACTCAGTTGCGGAATGACTTCCACCGGCAAAGAATTCTCACCAGAGTTACACGATCGCACTATTGATCTGTTGACTCTGGAAGTATAGGCTATTGATAAATTAAGAAACGTTGAAGATTTTGCTTTACATACATTAAAAAAAACCATGCAGACGATTTTAAAAATATCCACTTTTTTGGAGCCCATTAATAATAACACTTACTTAAAAAAGGTAATATTTAATTAAAAGCGATGTGATGCCATATCCGTTAAGCCAGTGGGCGTTGTTGTTGGTAATACACACAACATGGTCCAACTTTATCATTTACATTTGCATATAGAGTCGCAATCGGGACTGGTGACATCACCCGCCTAAATACCAAGGCTCGTATAAACAACAATAGTCAATTTCTTGCAAAGACTTTGTTATAAACCGGATTGACAACTGCGTAACTTAGAGGTCATATTATCTAGCTCTCTACATCACTAGCTAATCCTAACGTCACGGGCTAAGTCGATCCGATGTCAACATTGGTGCAAATAATAATGTTTTAAACGGACTAAAAATGACAAACGAGTACACAGTCCACCTGGTGGATGGTAAGTGGATACTATGGCTGATAGACTCAATTATTCTCGATTAAATATGAAAATTCAGATGCGTTGTCACCACTAAGGACTAATATGGAAGGCACTTATCATATGAAACCCATTCTAATGCTATTTCAGTAGTGGTCTAGTGGTCGATTTTTTGCTCCCAAAGCAAGGGACTAGCCTCCGGGAAGCGGGGGAGGCAGGTGGTGAATGCTCGTAGCATACCACGCAGCCGGCTGCGTGGTTTTGTGGGACTCACTATGAAGTGCCTACCCACTAAACACCACCTGTGGGACTGGCTTTGGCTTGTATGGCCGTAATTGGAAGATGTGGTCCATAGACAATTTCATCTATCCTCGATTAAAAATCAAAATGTGGATACGTTTCCACCCCTGAGGACTAAGATGGAATGCCTTGCTTCCAGTAAAAAAGGTCTCCGATTCCCTACTCTCCCATATGAAACACGGCTGCATTAAGCTGCTATTTTACGCTGGTAATCTGTGAAAGCGTGGTCCCGGTTGAGCCGACCAGTTCGTGTTACGACCATAATATAGCTGCAGCATGGCTCTACCACTTAACAAATTTCAGTTCAGATACCTATTTGTGATTATTCCCGTGTCCGACACCACATTTGCTTACTTCTGTTGTTATAGCTATAGTTATAGCAATGGAGGTACCGAGATATGTTAGGATGAGTGAGTGCCTTTACTATACTGACGTTTAAAGATTGGATTACGAGTAGTATACTATGTTTATTGTTTGTTTTTAATAATTTGTGGTTTTGCTTCTTAAGGATTGCAATCTTTGTCCAGCAAAGGATGCCGTTGTTAAGAAGCTGTTGATGTTTAATTTGATTAAAGTGTGGACATTAAGGATATCTATATATCTATACAATTAAAAATATTGAAGTGTCTGATTGTAATGTCAAAATAGCAGATTTATACTAAACACATATGAAAGTATATACGAGTATGATACTTATAACAGAAAACAATTTTTAAAAATTTTGTCTGTCTGTCTGTCTGTCTTTTTATCTGTCTGTCTGTCTGTCTGTTTATTCTGGCTAATCTCCGAAATGTCTGGACCTATTTTGACGGAAATTTCACAGGCATGTTATCAGAAGTAACTTAGGTTACTTTTATTTTGGAAAAAACAATTAGGGTACCGCGTAAAAAAATTGAGCATGAAATCCAATCGTAATAATTTCGATGCAGTAGAAGTCGCAGGGAACAACTAGTTTTGCAATATATTATTACATTTTTGACTCAAGTTTGGTTTGGATCCATTTTGCGTTAGGTAACATACAATTAATAGCTTTCTGGTGGTATTGTATGTATGGTTAGATATTTCATGTCCCGCTAGGTTTCTTGCTGGTTCTTCCCAGGACGGAGGATTTTTCGAATCAGTGGTAAAGTAAAAAATGACTCTATAAGAATTACACATGTGATCTATATTGAATAAAAAGTATACTATTCTATTTTATTCTATTAATGGTTACCGATGTGTAGAAAGCGTCAAGAAGAATAATACCCTCATCGTGGTGATTCGATTATAAAGAATCACAGTATACTAACGTAAGTTATTCCGTAGTAGTTCCAACACTTTTCATGCCTTAGCATAATATTGTTCTACGCATGTTAAACATTAATATGTTTCGCGAGATGGCCGCCATCTATTGGAAACCATAATATTTTTAGAAAAAAAAAATAATCACCATGAAACGACGAGGGAAAATAAGCTTAAATAAACTACTTATAAAGTTAGAAAGGGATACCAGTATAACTTCTTTTCTCAATGAGAGAGTTGCGAAAACATCAAGGCTGTGACAGTTAAAAAAACATAGGTGTGGCCACAGAACATGATTATACATACATACATACATACATTCATACATACATAAAATCAAGCCTCTTTCCCGTAGGGGTAGGCAGAGGCCACTTCTTTCCACTTGCTACGATCCTTACATACTTGTTTCGCTTCGTCCACTTTCATTATTCCCTTCATACATGCTCTTCGGTTTAGGGTACTCTTGACCTGGCTTATTTCAAGACGTCCCTGATTTGGTCTAGAAACGTCCGCCCAGGTCTAGCACTTCCAACACTTTGATTCACACTCGCCTTATACACTTTTTCGTCAATCGTTCTTCATTCATTCTCTCGACATGGCCAAACCATCTCAACCATGATTATACATACATACATTAGTAGAATGTTGATGATAGGGTAGGGCCATCAAACTCACCATATTATAGTTAATATATTATAGTTAGACACTTTAATTTTATATAATACATATATATATATTATTTACATATCATTGAAATATATACAATATTAAAAAACTATAATAAAAAACCACCCCATGGTATCGTGCCAAAAACGCTGACTGCGTTTCCTCGCTGAATGGATACACTTAGCCTTTGAGCGAGAAATGAAATAGTCCTCTTATACCGTATCTCTATATATATATATATATATATATCTCTCTATATATATATATATATAAATATATATATATATATATATATATATATATATATATATATCAGGAAAATGCTGCCGCCCTTTTTAAGTTTCACTTTGTCGCCTTTTACGATATTCACGGGATGATATGGGGTAGTAGATTATGTTCGTCGCCACTACAAGGCATAACAGGCGAATTTAATACTATTTTGGCATTCTCCACGCTTGACAAGGATTGGTTATCGCAGTTCCAGGAATCTATAACCTAAGATACTGCTTCCTATAGCCCGTCTCGGCATTTTACATCTGGCTTAAACGTAATAGTAAAATGCCATCTATTGATAATCATGAGATGATTCTCTCGATGAGACAATTCGTTACACGGCAATCTGTGTATTTTTTATAGAATAAGGGTGAAAAACGAGCACAAAGTCCAACTGTAATGAATGAACTGAAATGTGAATACTGTGACCCATTGGAATTCACAACTATCTTCGACCATAATGTAAGTGCGTTGTCACCCCTGACATAAAATGCCTCGTTACCCCTAAAAAGGGTGTCTGATTCTCTACACTCACCATACGAAACACAGCAGCATTTATTTGCTATCCTATTTTACGCTAGTATTCTGTGAGGTCCTTCTCCGGTCGAGCCGACTCAATCGTGCTACAACCATAATATAGCTGAAGCATGACTCTACCACTCATGCTGTGGTTTATAGATATTCACATTTATCCATGATTAATAATTAAAATACATACGTTGTCACCCTTGAGGACTAAGACCGAATGCCTCGTTTCCGGGTCTTCGGTTCACCGGGTGCTACATACCATTTGTACCTGCCATTTCTTTAACTACGGCACAGTTACTTGTGCTAATATAACTAGTATTATTTAAATAACAGACTATAAGTTTCACATTTTATTTTTTTCTCAGGACTGCAACGGTGACGGACAAGTGGATTGTTATGATTACGCAGCCATCCACAAGCTCGGAGCGTACGGATGTAGAGGTGAACTGCCGTTTAAATTCTACAATGACTTCAACCAATGTTTAGCATACGTCGCTTCCTACCAAGGTTAAAACCAGATCCAATAAAAAAAAAACAAGCGTAAAACTGAATTTTGTCAATTCAAAATAAACTGATAATTTAAATTCCTAATAACATGAAACAATTTTTAGAAAGTATCAAAAACTGTAAATGTACTAAAAAGACTGCAAAACTGTAAAAAAATCATCTAAGTATTGTAAATTGTCAAAATAATAAGATGTTCTAGTTACGATTAGGATAAAAATTAAACTAATTAGGAAACTCTTTCATTGTAATAAATTATTTTCGAATGATAAGCTGAAGTTTTAATTCGCCAACATTCTGTCTTTTGTTGCTTAGACGAATTTGACAATTTTATCGTCTGCCCTTCTATACCTACGTGGTAGAATTACTCTGCAGCTATATTATCGTTGTAGCACGAATGGGTCGGCCCGACCGGGATATGTCCACATTCTCACAGAATATCAGCATGAAATAGCAGCTTATTGCTGTTGTGTTTTGTATAGTTAGTGTAGAGAATCGGGGACCCTTTTTACTGAAAACGAGGCATTCCATCTTAGTCCATAGGAGTGACAACGCATCTGCATTTAAGCGAGGATAAATGTAGATGTCTATGTGTTATCGCATCCACTTATTACCATCAGGTGGACCGTGTGCTCGTTTGTCATCCTTATTCTATAAAAGGAATAACACCACCAATATTAACGTGATAGAGTCATACACATCATCATTCATCATTACAGCCCTTCATAAGTCCACTGCTGAACATAGGCGTCCCCAAAGAAATGCCACAAAACACGGTCCCGACCCACCTGTATCCATTGACTTCTTGCATGTCTTACCAGGTCGTCACTCCATCTAGTGGGGGAACGCCCCATACTTCGCCTGCCGGGTCGAGGCTGTCACTCGAGAACCTTTCTTTGCCATTGGTTGTTGGTTCTTTGAGCTATATGGCCGACCCATTGCCATTTCAGCTTACTAATCGGTTGGGCTATACGGTTACTCTGGTTCTACTGCGGATATCCTCAAGAGCATAGCCCTCTCAATAGCTTGCTGAGCGACCTTGAGCTTCCTCATTCCATCACGTATATGCCAGACGTTAAATACCCTAACAGGCAATGTAATGGGGAGCAGTATGTTAGGTTCGAGATGCTATAATATTATAGGAACTGCCCCTGCCAAATGCGGCGCTTAAGGGAAATCTCCTTCCTATGACGATAGATTCTTATGTACAATTGTTAACTTGTTTAAATTAGTATGATTTTTCTAGTGTAGATGGCGTTGAGCGTTGAGAAAATTTTGCAAGGAAGAACATAAATTAATTACAAAAGTAAACAATTTTCGAAACAAGATGTTGACACTCGGCGTAAGTTTATTCAGGACAATAATTTGTGTTTTAATTGCTTGGGCCACAATCACTCTGCCAGGTATTGCGGCAATGCAATAACATCTAGAATTTACAAACGCAAACAACATTTTATGTTGCACCCAAAAACACAGATGAGTCTGTTCATCTTTCATATTTAAGTTATAGAATGCAGAAAGTTATTATCAATGGTAGAAGTTCTTCCGGATCGTCCGTAAAGATGGGAGTCCCTCAGGGCTCGATTCTTGGCCCATTCCTATTTTTAGTGTATATTAATGGCTTACCTTCCCTTGTAGGGAATAATCATGATATAGTAGTCATGATATAGTAGTAGATATAGTATTATTTGCTGATGATACTTCCTTGATTTTTAAACTTAAACGTCTATCATTTAAATGTGACGAAGTGAATAATGCTATATCAAAATTAGTGCATTGGCTTAATAATCTGCATTAAAACGACAATAAAACTAAATGTATTAAATTTACAACAAATAATGTTAAAAATCTGAATACCAATGTGTTTTAAATGGGGAAGAACTGATCCCTGTTGAATCCTCTGTTATTCTTGGCATCAGTAGACGCAAAGTTTCAATGGGGCACCCATATATCCAAACTAGTAAGCCCACTAAGCTCTGCAGCTTATGCTGTAAAAAAGATTAGAGATCTCACTAGTGGCAATTTATACGCTATTAAAATAAAGTCCCAGAAAATATACAAGGTATCTCTATTACCAAGTTTAAATATTAAATTAAAAACTGTTTAAAACTTATATTAATAAGTTATTATCAACCATTTATATATTATAGTTGGTTGGTTGGCATAGATGGTTGATAACCCCTGGGAATGATGTGGTTGCTTCCAAGCTGTTTCTAAAATAAATTTTGTTAATAGTTTGTTATCATTTATATTGTAAAATTTATTTAAAAAAAAGTCCCACTGGGTTTCTTGCTGGTTCTTCCCGGGACAGAGGATTTTTTCGAACCAGTGATAAAGTAAAAAAAATGATTCAATAAGAATTACTTGTAATCAATATTGAATAAAAATTATTCTATTCTTTTCTATTCATCATACAGAGGTCCAAGATCATGACGATACGGATGCAGGACTATCATATGACGCAGTCGCAGAATAAGGTGAAATGGTTGCCTGTTTTTCGAAAGGGCACGCTTGCCAAGTGTTGTTAGCTACAGCTCTGGTCACAGCAGTGTTTAAAAACGGAGCTGAATTCACAAATCAGGTGCTCCTAGATCAGGGCTCTCAAGCTTCTTTCGTAATTGAAAGGGTAGTGCAAAATTTAGGTTTAAAGAAACAACGCACTAAAGGAATTATTTCCTGAGTTGGCGGTAATAATAGTTTAATATCAAAATCAATTGTTTACATAAAAATTTGATCAAAATAGAAGTCAATTTTACCTCTTCTTCCCACAAGAAAAATAACTGAATTAAAAGGGGTGGAAACAAACAATGTAGGACTAGCAGCTTACTCCTTTTTGAAAGGCCGGCAACGCATCTGCAATTCCCCTGGTTCCCGTGGTGTTGCCGTTGTTCATGGGCGGAAGTAGTCACTTACCATTAGGTGAGCCCCATGCTCGTTTGCCCCCTATGCTATATAAAAAAGATCATCAATATTTTTTTTTTACAAAATAATACGAGCACACAGTCCACCTGATGGTAAGTGGTTGCTGTGGCCATAGACATCTACATCTATCATCGTTTGCGAATTAAAATGCTGATGCGTTGTCAGCCGTGAGGACTAAGATATAATGCCTCTGATCCTGAAACTAGGCATTCCACCTTAGTCCTCACGGGTGACAACTCATCTTCATTTTGATTCGCAATTGAAGATAGATGTAGATGTCTGTGGGCCACAGCGACCGCTTACCATCAGGTGGACTGTATGCTTGTTTGTCACCCATATCCTATATAAAAAAAGTACCGACAAGCATAAGAGATAAATAGATGACTTACCGAAACGACTTTCTCAGGTTGACTGAATGTTCTGTACCTAGGTGGATGGGAATGTAAAGTCTGATAAGAGAATCGATTTACATGGCTTCTGTGACGCGTCAAAACAAGCATCTGCGGCCATCGTATATGTCAGAATAGTGGATTCTAAAGACAAGGTACATATTTATTTAGTAACCGCTAAGACAAGGGTCGCCCCTATCAAAACAATATCAGTTCCGATACTAGAATTATGTGGCGCAGTCTTGCTAGCAAAATTAATATACTAAAGGTAGATAAAACTAACCTCTTTGCTTGGACTGACTCTGGAATAGTGTTAGCGTTGATAGACAGATACCCGAGCAAATAGAAAACTTTCATTGTAAACAGAGTTTCAGAAATTTTAAGCATAATCGAGCCACAGCAATGGGGTCACGTTCAATCTTAACAAAATCCAGCTGATTGTGACTCTAGAGGTATTTCTCCATCCGAACTTCAGCGAACAAAGTTATGGTTTCGTGGTCTAGATTTCTTATATCAGTCAAAAGTGAAATCTGTAAAAGTAAAAACATATAGACTTCATTAAAGCAAGTACAGGTATATAATACAGTAACATCAGAATGTAATAATGAAAACAAAGAAAATGAATTTATTTTGCAGAATTGGTCAACACTTAGCAAACTTAGAGTTTTAGATTAAGGAAAATAAAGGCAAACAGAAATAGAACTAAATATTTAACCTCTCTTGAACCAAAACAAGCATTGAATAAAGAAATTCAAGAAAGAAATTCAAATTAAAAGAATATATTACCCATGGTCCATTAAAACCAATCAATCCATTTTTGGATGATGAAGGTATATTAAGAGTCGGGGGAAGGTTAGAAATCCTTTGGGACAAAAAGTATCCTATTATATTACCAAAGTTCTCAAGTCTTACTAACCTTATAATTGCTGATGCTCATAGAACACTTCACGAAGGCCCACAACTAATGTTGAATTTTTAAGGTCTTCATATTATATAATACAAGTCAAACAATTAGTGAAGGCTTTTTATCGTTAGTGTATAACGTGTATTAGATTTGCAGCTGCAAAAAAAGATTCAACTGATTGGTCAACTACCTGCCATAAGAGTCACCTCTACTAGACCCTTCAAACGAAGTGGAGTAGATTACGCGGACCCTATTAGTCTAAGGACCTCGAAGGGACGTGGACACCATGCGTACAAGGGATATATTTGCTTGTTTGTATGCATGAATACTCGTGCTGTGCACCTTGATGTTGTCAGTGATCTTCCCACTTAAGGCTTTCTTGCCGCCTATAAACGCTTCGTCGCACAACGTGGTAATTGCAGTGAACTGTGGAGTGATAAAAACTATTTAAATCTAAGCAGTCTGGAATCGCCAAGGATATAGCCGACGCTTTAGCCAACAACGGTACCAGTTGGCATTTTATTCCACCTCATACACCAAACTTTGGATGACTTTGGAAAGCTGGCATTAAGTCTTGTAAGCATCAATTAAAAAAGTTATAGGACAGTCAACTCTAACTTTTGAAGAAATGTCAACGCTATTGATTCAAATTGAATCTTGTCTTAACTCACAGCCGATTTTAAGATATAATGATGACGATGAATCAGTAGAAGCATTGACACTAGGTCATTTTCTAATTGGTGAGCGAATTTTAACAGCCCCTTATTACAATTTCGATTCATCAAAAATTATG